TCTCCATTTGATTGAACAAATGTAAGATAAGACCGTGCCTTTTAAGCACTGGAGAGTGAAGCACCAGAAATATATGAGGAAATTAGTTTCTCCAAATGTAGATCTTCTATCACCACCTATCATCTATCTATCTATATCTATCTGTCTATCTATCTATCTATCATCTACCATCTATATCTATGTATGTATCTTTCTACCATTATCTATCTATCTATCTATCTATCTATCTATCTATCTATCTATCCATCTATATCTATCATCTACCACTATATGTATGTATGTATGTATGTATCTATCTATCTATCTATCCATCCATCCATCTATCCATCTATCCATATATCCATCCATCTATAATCAAACAGCACCCATCAATCTAATTCATAGCTATACTCACAGTCAGTGTGTTCACTGGAGGGTAGTGAATGCCAGTTTCAGAGCAAGATGGTCCCCTTCCCTGTTTTAATCCTCCTGCCAGGGTTCATCTCCATTCCCATACCTTCCCATTCCTGCTCCCCAGCGCCAGCTTCAATACCTGCATTGAATTAAATTCCTGGAGGGTGGACTGTTTTCATTAATTGATTTTTCTGATTAGATTTTCAAAATGAAGTTCCAGGGAAAAACTTCTAAAATGTATTTATTTACATTTTCTTATCTGAATTGAATCTCACTGAATGTTATTGAGCATCCAGCGGGACCTGCTTATCCTCCTGAACACCAGTTGTGTGTGTGTTTTTCCTTTTCAACACATTAGTGCCTCTGTTTTCAAGGAAAAGGTATGTCCCAGGATGTTCTGTGATTTACTCAAGGGGGATTAGTGAAGGGGGTCTAACTTTAAACCCTAGAACAATTGCTGAGTTGGAAAGTTACAAAAGGCAGAGCTACCAGGGGTGGAATTTTTTATCAGATCAACTCCAAGTCATAACCCTGAAATTTCCATTGGGAAAAAAGAAGTTGGTTTTATTTTCTGTGAGGTTATTTAGCAAATACGCACATCAAGGAGTTTTACTAATTGTCCCAGAAGAAAGAATGTTGTCACGCTGATGGCCATAAGTTGAACACCTGAATCTGTTGCCAAGTTGATGTAATGGGAGTTTCAACATCACGTTGAAGTTTATGAACACATTTCTTAGCATTGAGAACGTGTGATCATAAGCATGTGGGAAACATAGGCATGTAGGGTTGAGCATGACTGTGACAGAAGGAGACACAATTCATATTTTGGGCAATGGGAAGTTATTTAAAATTAGTACCATCAGCCCTAGCTGGTTTAGCTTAGTGAACAGAGCCTTGGCCTGCAGATTGAGGAGTTCCTGGTTTGATTCCAGCTAGGGGCACATGCCTGGGTTGTGGGCTTGATCTCCCAGTAGGGGGCGTGCAGGAGGCAACCAATCAATGATTCTCTCTCATCATTGATGTTTCTATCACTCTCTCCCTCTTCCTTCCTCTCTAAAATCAATAATATATATATATATTTAAAAATTAGAACCATCATGCCCTGGATGGGTAGTTCAGTTGTTAGAACATTGTTCTGATATGCCAAGGTTGTAGATTCAATCGCCAGTCATGGTACATAAAAGAATCAACCAGTGAATGTATAAATAAGTGGAACAGCAAACCAATGTGTGTGTCTCTCTCAAACTAATACATTAAAAATTGAAAATATAAAATTAGCACCATCACAAGGTGTTTTAAGTTTGTTTATACTGGTGAAAAGAATATATAGGGAGTTCCTATGTATCTTTTAAAAATCAAAGTTGAAAATGAATAAAAACACTTCTTAACTGAACATTTTAGCAAGTTTTGGGGGGGTGTATTCACAGGTCAATTTTTTTTATTTCTCAAATCTCAGAGGAAAAATAGCCTGATCACTGTATTTTCTGCTCTGTGTTGGTTGGTATATAATACCAAACAACATATATATGTATGTATGTTTATGTATATATAAATATGGAAGTTCTCTCACCCACAGAAGACACAGCCTGAGGCTCCTAGGGCTTGGGGTAATATGTGAACCAACGCAAATAATTTAGGGAGAAGCAGAAGGACATTTTTTCAGGCAGTTTTTATATGTATATTTTAGGAGCTTATAAATATTTTGCAATATTTATGCGAGTGGATTGAGTTGCCTTTTGAATAGGAATTTTAAAAAATGTTAACACATCCCAACCCAATGGGAAATAAATAGGAGAGCAAAGGGCACTTGTGTGTTCTTCCTAGCCTGCCTTTACCGTCACCAAGTAGCAGAAAAATGTTCCAGAAATTCAGTCTTGGGTTTTCTAGTGAGTTACTGCTACTTGTGAGGTTGAGACTAGGGAGGGGGTTTGGGGGGAGACTCAGACAGAGCAAGCACTGTTTATTATACAGTTTGTACTGATATAATAAATTATATGTCCCCATGCCCTCATGAAACCTCGGGGAGACTCCTGCTTGCCTTAAAAATCAGGAACACTCCTCCAGATGTTGCAGAAGCAAAGAGGAAGTGTGAAGTCTCCCAGATGTGCAGCTTCCAGTGGGGTCATATTGAGCAACTAATCTAAGTGATTAGGTAGTCTTCTCAGTTTTACAGATAAGAAGCAATCCTTGGAACAGCCATGTTATTCATTGACATACTTTGTAATTGTAGATATGCATGTAGGAATGGCATGCTTGGGACAGTTGTATGTTATTCATTGACATACGTTTTACCAGTAGATATCTGTGTAACAATGTCATGCTGGAACCACATTTGACACTTGGGTAAGGAGCAGGTATTCTAACCATATCTTAGAGAATTCTGGCAGGAATGGAGTGATTGAGAAGAGTTTAACAAAGAAACTATTGACCACGGAATGGCCAGGTTAAGAGAGACAATCAAGGGATAGTGATCGAAGTTTGAGTAATGCCTATTATTTCTTTTTCCCCCTTTTCTTTCTGTTTTGCTTTATAGCCCTAGAAGTGTGATGTATTGAGTTATAGTATGATATGATCAAATCCTGAGACAAACAATTGTAATGAAATATAATAATGTTACCATCAGTGTTTTCAAATAAGCATAGATATCCAATTGAGTGTTCCCCAGATGGGAGGCTTTGATATGAAAGTTAGGTCAAGGTCAAATAAAGTATATAAGAACTCAGCTCTCTCCTGAGCCTGCCCTCTGCCTGGGTAGATTAGATTTCCCAGAACACTCTTGGGCCTTACCAGCTACTCAAATGATGCAGGGACTTGAACTTCTCACCTTTTACAGACAGATGATTGAATTAGACTATAGGAGTTTAAAAACAAAACAAAACAGAATTACAACTTGAGTGGGTAAGAGTGTAGCTCATCCTCAGTTTGAACTGAACCTCTATGATGTCCCTGGGTTAGAAGTAAGGGGGAATTATCTTTAATCTGAATAGTTCTCTTTCATTTGGGCCAGATGTATAAGACATATCCATTCAATAGGAATATACTAGGCTAGTCATGATCATTTTTTTTTTTATGGGGAGGGGAATCCTATGATACAGACTTCAGTAAAAATGCAGGGCACAGAAAAAAATATAATATTCTTATAGTAAGATAGATGGCTAATCTTTGAAATGGAAATAACTGCAATATCAATTAATATGGAACTAAGTTACCCATAATACACTCATAAGTGAACAAGGATGCACCTATAAGAAGTAATAAATTGAACTTCTATGGGCTAACAAGAAAATATCTCAGTCTGGCCAGCATGGCTCAGTGCTTGAGCATTGACCTATGGACCAGAAGGTCATGGTTCAAGTCCTGGTCAGGCACATGCCTGGATTTCTGGCTCAATCCCCATTGTGAGGCATGCAGGAGGCAGCCAGTCCATGATTCTCTCTCACATCGATGTTTTTCTCTTCCTCTTCCTTCCTCTCTGAAATCAATAAACATAAATATATTTAAAAGAAAATATCACAAAGACATCCATTGTGTGAATTAATGCCTATATCATGATCACATTTGTGGTTAAATGTTTATATACATATGCATATTTGTATGCATATTCAAGTAATGGCTTTAGAGTTATACACATATGTTTATCTAGGAAAAAAATTATAAGGGTAGAGAGAGGACAAAATACAGATTTTTAGAATAAGTTCAGGCCCTATGCAAATGTTGAATCTTTAACAAGAAAAATGAAATTATTAGTACAATTGACAAAGAGGCAGATAGATAAAGCCCTGAAAATAAATCAGAAGAAAAAACCACTTATTTTAGGACAGATGATTTTAGGTTATTCCATATGATTTTTAAAATGTTTAAAACATTACCCTGTTTTCATGATCTTTCTGTTTTTCTTAAGTATTTACTTCTTTTACAATAAAGGTGTAAGTAAACAATTAAAGTATAAATGTAGTTGAAAAAATAGTACCTTGGGATTTAGACACTTGCCTATGTTAATTCTGATGGGTATCTTATTCATCTGAGTTGATTCCAAAAATGCATTTACTTCTTTCATTTCAAATGTACTTGTGAGCTTCAGAATAATTTATCTTTGACCTCAGAACCTTCCAGCTATTTGTGTATTTACTCCTCTTGTAGCAGAATTGGAGCCCGTGATAAATTGTAGGATTCTTTTACTTGCAGGGTTTCCCTGGGTAGTTGAGGCTGTGTTATGATTTATACTTTAATTTGGTAGGCAAGAGTATGCCATTCAGTTTGCTTTAGATTGTATATTTTTGCAAGTTTTAAAAAAAGACGTGATAAAATGGATTTTTGCAAGTTATCTACTGCTGTCTACGAGTCTAATCTTTCTTAGTGTTGGCATCACAAACACATTCCAGTGAAATGTCAAAAGAAAACTGCAAATTGTGTGAGCGGGGACTTTTATGTGTTTATGTATTTGTGGTGTGTGTGTGTGTGTGTGTGTTGTGTGAGAGAGTGACAGAGAGTGTGAGAGAGAGAGAGAGAGAGAGAGAGAGAGAGAGAGAGAGAGAGAGGTATTTATACATTTATTTTTGAATGAACTGTCTGCTTGAAAATCATTCTTACATTTCTCTCTCCATCAGCAATTATAAAAACTGCCCTTCCCAACATGGACAGAGAAGCCAAGGAGGAATACCTGGTCGTCATCCAAGCCAAAGATATGGGTGGACACTCCGGGGGCCTGTCTGGGACCACAACACTGACAGTGACTCTTAGTGATGTTAACGACAATCCTCCAAAATTTGCCCAGAGTAAGTGAATTTCCTGCACTGGATGAGAATTTAAGTATAATATTATTCGAATTTATAATTTTCATTATTTATATTTATATTACAATTAATATATGTTATAATTATTCTATAAAGTTCAGATTTATATGATAAACACCCAAAAAGCCAATTGCCATCATTTAGTGTGGTTTATATACAAAGTATGGTAATTCACATATATACACCAAACAAGCAACCCTCTTGTCATTTGGTACTAAATGCACCCTCCTTTTACAAAGTTTAAATAAATTGAAATAGTTTCCAAATATTGAGTATGTATGTAGTTAAAGTCTTAGAGTTGCAACTGCAAGATGTGAGCATATTTCTCTATTCCATGGTTCCTTCCATTAAGAAATTTTGATAGAGTGATTAAATGCACCTCCAATATTGTTCTATCAATAGTTCTACTTGTCATATAAACTAAACTATATCTTCAGCATCTGAGGTGAAAAAGGCATATACAATTGCTGCAAAATAAATACTTTTTCTCAGCTGAGGGAACACCAGTGATCACTGACTGGACTCTTCGCTGCTAAGGACATGATCAGCCTCAGAAAACTCTCCACAGCCTTCTAGGCCACCGCCATCAATGAATCAGGGAGACCATCATCATTTACCAACATTCTTGTCTCATTGAACCCCTTTTCTTCTGAGTATTGGTCAGAGTAACTGGATCTTGAGAGATGATTGGGGAAGGCCTTTCTGGCATGGAGACTCTTGAGTTGAGGCATGAATGATGATTAGGAATTAGCTGAGACAAGGTCAGATCAAGAGATTGGGGGATGGGCATTGCACCTAGAGGAAAAAGCAGTCCAAACATCCTGTAGAAGAGCAGGTAGGGCCCTGCACGGGAAGGGATAGAATTTCACAGCAGGGGAAGCACAGAAGCTGGAGAGTTAGTTTAGGCAAGAGTTAGATGTATTGGATTTGTAGTCCTTTGTAAGTACCATGAGTTTTACCCTAACAGCACTAGGAAGCATTAAAAGATTTGAAGTTGAGCCAGGCCAGTGTGGTTCAGTGGTTGAGCAGTGACCTGTGACCCAGTAGGTCGCAGTTCGATTCCAGGCCAGGGCACATGCCCAGGTTGTGGCCTTATTTCCCAGTAGGTGGTGGGCAGGAGGCAGCTGATCAATGATTCTCTCTATCAATGTTTCTATCTCTCTCTCCCTTTCCCTTCCTCTATCAAATCAATAAAAATATGTATTAAAAAATAAGTTGAGAAAATGAGAGAAAAGATGTTAAATGGTAGCTTGAGTAATAGGATTTGATTTCAGGGAAATCAGAGAAAATGAAAGCTGGCCTTTGCCCAGTGTCTTCCCCACAGGGCAGCCGGTTAACAGGTGGTTGTAGTCATTCATGTCAAAGTGATGGTAGTCTTGGCAAGCCAGGGTATCTCAGTGGAAGTGGAGAAGGGTGCATAGTTGCAATAGATATTTGAGAGGTTATGATAACAAAAATCTAAGGAGAGATTGCATTTTTAGTTGAGGAGGTGAATTATCACATTTCTGACATGAAAGACTATTAGATGCATACTGGTACATTTTGCTGGGATAGGAAATACCACAGGAGAACCAGTTGTTGAAGTAAGAGAGCGATGAGAGGACAGAGAGAAAGACAGGGAGAGAGTCAGAGGTGGGATTGCAAATGACACAGTTGAGGTACCTTTGAGAATTTATCTTCCGAAATTTCGAGGTAGAAGGAACATGAAAGCTGCATTTTCACTGAGAAATTTCACATCATTCACAAACCAGACAACAAGGCAACCCCCTTTAACAAGGTTCTTAGAATGGAGAAATACCATTTCTCCCATCCTTCCCCCAGCCTCCTCTTTCTTTGTCAGTTGCCATTAGAGTTAATGCTCTAAGTTGCAACTCTTCTTTCTTGCAAAAAGGATTGTTTCACTTCAGCAGTGGCAGATGAGTTTCAGAAGTGTTAATAACTTTCTTAGAGGTAATAACCATTACACATGATCACATTGTTAGAGATGATGGGAGTTCACAGAATAGAGATAGCTAAAGAATTGTTCCATTTGCTTGGTTTCCCAAGGCTCTCTGCATCAGGACAGGCATTGAGGTGAGGTCCCTTGCTGCCTTATTTACTTAATAACTATTCCTGAATGGAGCATCTCAAACCTTACCTGGAATAAGCAGTCTGAGGGAAATGGAATCGTTGCACCAATTATGAGAGAATTGGGAAACTTATACTCAACAGTATGATTTTCAGTGCATGCCTTATGGCAAAACTATTAGGAAAACATTTTGTTCCCCAGTCCCGTCGTCGGCAAACTGTGGCTCTTGAGCCACATGCGGCTCTTTGGCACCTTGAGTGTGGCTCTTCCACAAAACACCACGGCCTGGGTGAGTCTATTTTAAAGAAGTAGTGTTAGAAGAAGTTTTAAGTTTAAAAGATTTGGCTCTCACAAAGAAATTTCAGTCGCTGTACTGTTGATATTGGGCTCTGTTGCCTAATAAGTTTGCCCACCACTGGCCCAGCCCCATCATTTCATGACTCTAAGGGACATCCTTCTGTTGCCATTAAATAAAAGGGAGTTCATGCTAGAAGGAGCCCTTCCTCATCATCTTAACTAATCTTGTTACAGTGGGTAAAATGAGCCCGAGTTTTTCCCAGGGACCCAGTGATTGAGTTCAAACCACAATTAAGCCATGTTCCCTAGATGTAATTTTTCCTTTTGGGTTTATATTGATAGTTCATCCAGTGTTCATTCTCCCCTTGTTTTTGTTGCAATGGGACTAACACGTCCTGGTTGTCTGGCTTTGGATTCCCCAGAAACAGGCACTGAGACAAGAATTTGATTATAAGTACTTTATCTCGGAGATGAGGCCAAGGAATGCCAGGAGGGAGGTGAGGATGCGAGAGAGAAAGACAGGGAGCCAAAGATACACATTACCGAGCCAGTTACCGCTGTGCGGGACTGGAGCTTAGCCCACTGGGGAAAACTCTGGAATACTGTAAATTAAATAAACAAGCAAAAGGGAAAAAAAACAACAACAGTAGAAATGTTACCCTACCAGAGAAGGGAGGAAGCTGGGATGGGAACGCTGGTGAGCGGTTTGAGGGCTGCTTCTGTGGGGCATTCATTTCTCTCCTGTTCTGGTCTGACAGGCAGGGACCACAGTGGATTCTGAAAGCCAGAGAAAACCCTCAGGCAAAGAAAGGCAGAAATTGGCAAATGAAATGCAGGGCACATAGGCACTGAAGTGGTAAGAGCCAGGGGTCATGTTTCCAAAAGCTTCCCCTCCACCAAAGAGAAGGAGGCACACTAAGGCAGCAGCCAAAGCGATCTGAATGAAGATGCCACTAATTAGCCATGTTTTACGGCGCCCACAGGAGAAGCAACACACACTGTAATTGTATTTTGCCTGGAGAGTTTGGAAAGTAGGATTTCCGGTTGTTCAGAGCAGCGAGGAGGGACTTGGGTAACAAACCAGAGGAGTGTTTTGTGTGTTGGAACAGCTTGCTGCAGGGCACAGCGGAAGTTTAGTAATTGGGTTTTATCAAACACGGTCTGCGAGTCTGTAAATACAGAGGTCACCGCAAAAGTGACTTTCTGTGCGTTACATCTTGCATCTTCCTGTGCTGAAATTAGCTTACTGTTTTATGGTGGGCAACAACGAATAGCCCCACGGGCAACCAATGTGATTGTACAAGCCATTGGAAAGAACTCTCACATAGATTCGCTAACATCCTGCTATCCAACTACACACTTGGTGCACGTGTGATGGGATAAATTCCATATCTCAGAAGAGTCTCAACAAGACCTCACGCCTTCTGGGAACTCTGTCTCTGACTCATTGAAAATATTGTGCATTCCACAACAAAAATAATGTTGAAACATCTTTTCCACATTGTAGTGGTAGCATTTGCACAAGTGCCCAGAAGAACGGAGGTGCCCAATAAAAACCGTGTTACCCCGAAAATAAGACATCCTCCGAAAATAAGACCTAGCTCATGGAAAGATAAGACATCCCCTGAAAATAAGACCTAGCGCAACTTTAGGAGAAAAAAATTAATATAAGACACTGTCTTATTTTCGGGGAAACAGGGTATTTGCTAAATGAATGAATGAATGGAATCTGCACGGTGCTCAGTGTTTGTCCTCTTTCCCAAGGTCTGTATCACTTCTCAGTACCTGAAGATGTGGTTCTCGGCACTGCCATAGGCAGGGTAAAAGCCAATGATCAGGATATCGGTGAAAATGCACAGTCGTCGTATGACATCATTGATGGGGATGGCACAGCAATATTTGAAATCACCTCTGATGCCCAGGCTCAGGATGGCGTTCTACGACTAAGAAAGGTAAGCTGAGAAAGATTTTGTTCACATTCAGAATACCTCTTGGGAACTTGAGTTTCGGGGTTTGTGGGAGTTGGGTGGACTCTCTGGTGAAGTCTTAGAGCAGGTAGAGGTGTCTCTTCTTTAGCTGCAGACAAAGTGGAGCTAATTTTATACCTCATACCTCTTGGCCCCACTTTGCATTATCAGCCAAAGCTCTGGGAAAGAGTTGCCATGGTGATGCTAGCCACCAATTTCATCTTATCTCTCCCATCTACATCACACTGCCTTTTCCAAAACTGCAGGAATGTGTAGGGAACTCAACACTTGAAAGGCAACTTTCAAGCAATGAGGGGTGCAGATTGGGGGACAGCTCCTATTCTTTGAAGAAATTATTTTGAGGCATATTGTCTATGGTTCCGAAGAGGATTTCCAGTGGGAAGAAGCCTCACTTGCCCACAGAGTTGGTGAGTTCAATGGCTTTTAATGTTTCTCTATATTAATTCTCCCCATGGCTGCCCTCCTGCTTCCTGGTATGTCTCCACAAATCACACTGACGTCTTTCTTTTTAATATGTTTTTATTGATTTCAGAGAGGAAGGGAGAGGTGGAGAGAGAGAGAGAAATATCAACGAGGAGAGAGTATCATTGATTGGCTGCCTCCTGCATATCCCTAGACTGGGATTCGAGCCCACAACCTGGGTTTGTGACTTGACCTTAAATCGAACCATTACCTCCTATGCATAGGTCAATGCTCAATCACTAAGCCACACCAACCAGGCTCATCATGGGTATTTAGTTTAATGTTATCCTTCATATCTCTGTCATGAAATAGTCCAAATTAATCTGTAATAATAAAAGCGTAATATGCTAATCAGGCTGGACAGACCTTCTGGACTTCAAACTGGACATCCTTCTGGATAAAGCCACTGTGGTGGAGGTGAGGCAGAGGAGATTAGGGCCAATCAGGCAGGCAGGTGAGCAGTTAGGGGCAATCAGGCGGGCAGGTGAGTGGTTAGGGGTGATTGGGTAGGCAGGCAATCTGGTAGGCAGGCCGGCCAGTGGTTAGGAGCCAGCAGTCCAGGATTGTGAGAGGGGTCCCAGATTGCCAAAGGATGCAGGACGGACTGAGGGAGACCTCCCCTCCATGCATGAATTTTGTGCACCAGGCCTCTAGTTTTTAAGTAGTTTTGCTTATTCATGAATAAGAAGATAGATAGTGAACCACACCATTGGGAGCCCATAATTTTTCCCTCTGTCCTGATCAGTATTACACTGAAATAGCTCCAAATGTACTCTGTAATTCTGTGTTATATTGCATAGGGATCTGCAATCCACTGCTCATGCTCTTAAAATCCCCTGTTGAAGAGATAGTGGCATGTTCTGGATTCACCTTTATATACAAAATACAATTTAAGATCAATTTTGAGAAAAACAATGCATTTATTTCAACTGTCTTTTTGAGCAACCCTACCTTTATACACAGCTTTAGTTTAGGATTCAGCATTGCAAAGTGTTTAAAAATAGAGTACAGTATAATTATGCTCAAGTCAATTATTGAATAACCCAAAGCCACATTTCTCTTGGCTAATGATTCCTAATGTCATTTTTATTGTTATTACTAACTGCCATCCGTTGTTGCCACAAGGTGCTTTTATAAGCTGAAGCAATTAGCCATTGGCTGTATTTTTATTCACAATTATTCATAAACTTAGAAGCATATACTACACATTTTAACACCAAGAAAACACATGCATTTTTCTCTAGAGAAATTGTGGAGGGGGTCATATTTTCACCATTCATGGGACCTCTTTTTTGTCGGATAAAACTCTAAGGACATTAGGATTTGGGGGGACACTGTCACTCTATTAAGCTAAGAATTAAACTGAACACAATCTGTCACACTTATCAGTGTTTCTGAAGAACTTGAAATTGCAAATGCATTACAGTAGGGATGGTTGGCAAAATGTACATGCACCTAGTCATTTTAGAATAGACAGGGAAGTTTCCTAGAAAATATTTCAGAAAAAGTCAAGTTCCATTAGATCTGAATTCAACTATAAAAATCAATACAAAATTTGAAATGATATCTAAACTTATACAGAAGTTGTGAAAGAGTTCATGAATGCTGGCTTGTGTTCCAGCTTTTTTTTTTTTAATTTCTTTATTAATTGAGGTATTATATGTGTCCTTATTCCCCCATTATTCTCCCAACCCCCATTTATGTCCTTACCCCCTGTTGTCTGTCTATTGGTTAGGCTTATATGCATGCATACAAGTCCTTTGGTTGATCTCTTCCCATTATCCCCACCCTCCCCTACCTTCCCTCAGCTTCTTCTTTTTTTTTTTTTCTCCTCTTTTTTTAAAATATATTTTTTATTGATTTTTTACAGAGAGGAAGGGAGAGAGAGAGAGCGCGCTAGAAACGTCAATGAGAGAGAACCATCGACCAGCTGCCTCCTGCACATCTCTTACCGGGGATGTGCTCACAACCAATGTACATGCCCCTGACCAGAATCAAACCCGAGACCCCCCCAGTCCGCAGACCAGACGAATGCTCTACCACTGAGCCAAACCGGTTTCCATAGCTTCTTCTTCTTCTTCTTTTTTTAATATGCATTGCAGATTGAAAGTTCTGTTTCTCAGAGGAAATTGCAAAGAAACCTAAATTGTGTCTTTGAACCTTGACAGATGTACTTTCTAGAAGTCTGAAGTGTTCTGCGTTGCCGGGAATTGGACCATAGGGTTGCCAAGCAGATGCCCTCCGATTATTTAAGGGGATTGTGTTCTTTCACCCAGCTATATTTACCTAGGTCATTAACCACAGTCTCTGGGACTTTTAAGGAATGAGTTATTAATATGTCAAAACTATTGTCAGTAATGGTGCAATGAGGTCATTTCAATTTGCTTTTAGTGGTTGGTTGAGACCTAGGGAGCTATAGCTACTCATCTTTCCTTCTTCTAAATATAAACACAAGTACATATGTGTCTGCATATATATTTCTTTACATGCCCACCTGCTTCATAGCACAGGACTCATCATAGAGACCTTCTAAGAATACCCCCCCCCCAAAAAAAAAATAAACTTTGCAGGCCTGCATGGCTCAGTGGTTGAGCATTGACCTCTGAACCAAGAGGTCATGGTTCGATTCCCGGTCATGTTTGGGTTGAGGTGACAGTTTGATTCCAGTCAGGGTGTGCCCTGGTTATAGTCTCGATCCTCAGTTGGAAGTGGCAGTGGGAGGGAGTGCAGAAGGCAGCCAATCAATGATTCTTTCTCATTGATGTTTCTATCTCTCTCCCCCTCTCCCTTACTCTCTGAAACCAATAAAAACATATTTTAAAAAATAAAAAATAAATGATAAATCTCATTTTTAGCCCCATGATCAGTCAAGTGGCAATGCTTTGCAAGTGAAATAAGAAAGCGCTCTTTGTTGAGATTAGTGCTAAATTATGCTTTATAATGTCTCCTCGCCCTAAACAATGATTATTCCTCGCTCTTCACATTTCACATGCTGTTGCAGAAATGCTAAAATATTCTTCCCAGATCGAGATAGTGTTTGATGCCACCTTATCTCCTCCCAGCAGAGGCTCAATTAACTCGGCTGATTGGTATGCAGGTCGTGGTATCCCTAGTAAAATTTTATTAGGATGCCGAAGTGAAATTTTGATGGCACAATTCATGACTGTGACTATTCTGTGCATTTCCAAGTGAAATGAGCAAAACAAAAACACAACAATAGGAGGCTAGGTTTCTACCGAGCTTGGATAATACACAGACATCCATAAATGCCGGTACAATTTACAGGTTGGATCTGGGGGAACGGAGAGGGATCCCATTACGCCTCACACATGGGCTTCCGTGCACATAGTGATAATCCATCAGCATTATACTCATTTGTTCTTGCTGCTGTGGTCATTAGTGAGCCACATTCGTCTTTGTCATTTCTTAACAGCCTCTGGACTTTGAGACCAAAAAATCCTATACACTGAAGGTGGAGGCCGCCAATGTTCACGTCGACCCGCGGTTCAGTGGCCGGGGGCCCTTCAAAGACACGGCCACGGTCAAAATTGTCGTGGAGGATGCCGATGAGCCTCCTGTCTTCTCTTCACCCACCTATCTCCTCGAAGTTCATGAAAACGCCGCCCTGAACTCCGTGATTGGGCAAGTGACCGCGCGGGACCCTGATATCACTGCCAGCCCTATCAGGTACATGTCTCTTACTGGCTATCTCAGATGACAAGCCCATCTGTATAAGATGCAATGACATGTGCAACCTACATGGTTGCCTTAGGGACTAACCTCACATAATCAAAGAATTTTGGTCAATGTCTATTGTGTGTGCATACACATGTGAACGTGGGTGCATGCATACATGTGTACACACACACACATGCACACACATCAACCCAGAGCTACCTACAATGCCCAAAGCCAAGGATATCAGGGAGAAATCAGGGTGAACACAGCTCTTCTTGCGTGAAGAGAGCTCAGTGAGAATGCAAAATTTCATCCATTTTCAGATACATTTGGGTGGATCTTTTATATTATTTTGTTTTTGCTTGTTTATACATTTCCTTTTTTTCCCCTAGCATTGCTGGATTTTCTTCTCTCTCCATTGACAGCTACAGTAAATTATATATGAGAATTTAGAGGCATGAGACCACTGTCTCAACATATTAAGAGGCCCCTCTTTTATTTCTGTATTTGGCGTTTGGCTTTGCAATTATCTGAACATTTCTGGTTGGTCAGCATATCTGGACTGGAGACTCTTAGATAAAATCTTTCTCTGCCATTTCAAAAATACCTTTTGTTTATATTTTCCCTGCTCAGAATTCTTTCCTGAGATGAGAACCGATCCTTTATTAAAGTTTTTCTGCCTTTTTTCTGAAATGAGACTCAAACCTATTTTTTTCTGTTGAACTGCGCACAACTTTTCTTTTTGGCCAGTCACCCCAATGACAGTACAATGCTCAAGCTAAATATCATTTTTTCCCCAATAGCACACTGCAAATCTATAACTTGTACACTGGCCTCCAAGGGTGAAGTGTTGGCTAATGATGTGTTTGAGAGTGGATTTCAAATATTGTCTTAGAAATGTTTGCTGTAAAAAGAGACAGGAAACTTAATGGAGGAATACAGTGTTAGAGAATTGTCCAGTTATTCTGTAAGTCAGCTCATACCCAACGTGTTCCCTTGGGTTACGGGCATTCATGTCCTTCTAATTTCTTTACTCAGAGAAACTCTAGACTAGGGGTGTCAAACTCAATCAGAGAAGGGGCCAAAATCTAAAATCCAGCCTAAATCGTGGGCCGAATGGTTTACTGAACAGTCATAAACTGTCATTGTGATGGAAACGCAGCGGAGTGCAGTGATGACAGCGCAGTGCGGGCCACATTGCAAGGCCTGGCGGGACGGATTTGGCCCGCGGGCCTTGTGTTTGACACATGTGCTCTAGACAAATGAGTTAATTTATTTATTACATCCTCATCCCTCACAAGAGTGCTGACATGATAAGGTTGGAAGGGCAACCCAGCAGAATAGCCAGTCAGTGCCCCAAATAATTTGAGTTTGGGCACAAAATAATTTTTTTTTTGATCCAGAAAAGATATTTTTAACGCAAACCATTTCTAAATTCAGGATAATATAGAGTGTATCCCATAAGGATACAAAAAAAAACCCCCAATGTTTTCTTCAAAAGAGCCCAAATTCTAAGAAGGTTAAACTTCACCTGGGGATTTGAGGAATGGTCAGTTCAGTTGTCCATTCAGCTATAGACATACAGAATGGCCTGCATTTGGCTAAGAGACTTACATCTCTCAAAGGGCCAAGGGTTGAATACAGCAGCAGGAGGTATCCAAAAAATACATTACTATGGATATCCATTTTCTGACCAAGTCCTGAAATGACTTCATCTTGAGATCCTGTGATAGCCCTAGCTAGTTTGCTTGGTGAATAGAGCATTGGCCAGTGAGTGAAGGGTCATGGGTTCGATTCCACTCAAGGACACGACCCCCATTTGGGGGTGTGCAGGAGGCAGCCGACCAATGCAATGATTCTCTCTCATCATTGATGTTTCTATCTCTCTCGCCCCTCCCCCTTCCTCTCTGAAATCAATATATATATAAATCCTGTTATAAATTGGGATTTTTTTTTGAATGAATGAATCTTTCCCATTTTCATGTCACTTCATTTCCTCTGGAAAAAAAGAAAAGAAAAGAAAAAGAAAATATGACAGATAAAGGGGCAATGGCCAGTGTCTGCACATCTCCAAGTGTAAGTGACAGCATGTGAAGGAAATAAGCAAGATTGGTCCAACTGAGAGGCCTGTCATGGGGCCTGTTTGGCACTTGATTTGACAAGATTTCTGCTCTTGTTAGCAGGGAACACACAGGGGGCTCTGGAGTATGCCAAGCCAAGGGCCCTTCGGGGACATGAGGAGTTCAAATATCAGGGCAATCAACTCCAAACATGAAATCCTTGGTCCCAGCAGGAACTGACTTCCTGCGCGGAGGCATGGTCTTAATCAGCTAGCGATGGGGTTGGAGGGATATTTCATACCATAGTGACAGCTCCAATAAGCAGATCTGGGTACAAATCCAGGTTTATCTTCGCCCCACCAGTTTTTGCACATTTTATAACCTATCTCTTTACTGGTGTTCAAATGAACAGTCACTGGTAAAAATTCCAGTTCACAGGGAATCGAGGGATGATTATCATTGTAGTTGATTGTTATTTTTTAAATATATTTTATTGATTTCGAAGAGGAAGGGAGAGGGGCAAGAGAGATGGAATCATTGATGAGAGAGAATCATTATCAGCTGCCTTCTGCACGCCCCACACTGGGGATTGAGCCCACAACCAGGGAGTGTGCCCTGCCCGGGAATCAAACCGTGACCTTCTGGTTCACAGGTAGACACTCAGCCATTGAGACACATGGGTTGGGTTTTGTTGTTATTTTTATTATTCTCACTGGTATGAATGGAGGCATAGAGAAGGCGTGAAACTGCTTAGTAACAGTTGCCCAAATTGAGAGTATTTTGTTTTGGGACAAATCAAAGGGAATTTGGGATGGTGTTACCTGGAAGAGATGAACAGATAAAGTACCATTTGATGACGCGGATGGATCTATACTTCTGATAGATGTCAGGCAGGTGCTGGTTTCTTGACATCTATGGTCCTTCCCAAGAAGGGGCGGATGCTGTGTCAGAGCATCTCCAATAGGCTTGGGTGTGTTCTATCCAAGGCGAGCCCCACACAGGTCTGATTGGACATGGAATCACCAAGGGCATTTTCCAGCATCTGGTCTGCATTTTGGTAGTTGCACCCCAACCCCCACCATCTGAGTCATGGAGAGAAGCTTTTTCCCCCCCTAATGCACAATCAGTTGGTTTGAGTAGAAAATTAAATTTTCTGGTGAGCCAGGGCACTGCATAGCTCCTTATGAGCCTAGCAGACAGATTCAGAGCCATGTCACCTTTTAAAACAGAACTAGAGGACGTAGGTATTTGGGGAATTACTGAGAAATAAAGAGCAAAGTGCTGCTGCCTCTTTAGGACTGTTGCATTTTATATACTGACAAGAACGTATGCATCTTTTGGGGGAATGTTTACGTGGCCATCTGGCAGGAAATAGGCATTTATTGTGTCATCTGCTGTGTTAAAACATGCGGTCATTTATTGGTTGGTTGACTCTCTGTCCAAAGATTCAATAACTTTTTCAAGCGCATTGTCAAGCAGGAAATATTATGTATTTTGAAATTTTTATACTTAAACCTATACATATAAGTATATACACACACACACACACACATACATATATATACCTATATCTATCTATAGCTATATCCACATCTATATATCTACAATTATATATCTATATCTATATCTATATCTATATCTATATCTACCTACCTTTATATATACCTATCTCTATCAGTATCTACCAATCTCTATATCTGTCTATATCTATATCTACCAATCTCTCTCTTTATACACACACACACACACACACACACATATATATTCCTATCTCTTTATATCTATCTATCTATCTATATCTATATATACTTATCTCTATATATCTATACCTATCTCTATTTATCTATGTCTACATCTATATCTCTACCTAAATCTATATTGATACCTACATCTACATCATCTATATATGTATCTGTATCTATGTCTATATCTATGTTCGTATACTCCCTTCCAGGGAAAAATAGGCAAATCCATGGTCTTCCCATCTCCCTGCTAGGAACATTAATTAAACATTTGCTACTTTCTTCAATACAAGATGCTTCCCAGTAATAGAGCATGAAGTTCTGTAAACGATTTGAAAAATTACCTTACTTGAACTGAGACTGAGGTTTCAATCCTATCACTAATTCTTCCCTGTTGGTCAGCTGGTCTCTGGAATTCTCTGAGACTCAGTTTCCTCACCTGTGTATTGGAATAATATCATCTTCCTCACAGGGTTACTGAGATAATTAAGTGAAGCCATTCAATAAAATAGATGGAAGCAATTAGTATTACCAGTTAATAAAGACACCATCAATGTCATATGGTAAATGCAGATTGAATAACCTAGTACTTATTTTAGCAGATATTCTTCTACTAAAGGTCACTTAATGGACACAGAATGACCTGTTTTTGTTTTTTGATAGTTATAGGCTAAATAGTCTAACCTCATTTAATCTCATTTTCCCCTGCTACTGCTGTGAATATTATCACTAGTGAGTGCTTATTAATATGTGGCCAGGAGATGCTAAATATACTCATTTTATTCCCTAATACCTCTGTGAAATGACATATATGCTCATTATCCTCATTTAACAAATGCAGAAACTGAGGATAAAAATGTTCATTTGCCCTAGTTGAGTGGTCTGCAAACTCATTAGTCAACAGAGCCAAATATCAACAGTACAACGATTGAAATTTCTCTTGAGAGCCCAATTTTTAAACTTAAATTTCTTCAAAATAGACTCGCCCAGGCAGAAAACCGACTTCTGCGCATGGGCCACGAAGTTTCAATAGCACTGTACGTGTGCGCCCGCAAGTGGTATTTTGTGGAAGAGCCACACTCAAGGGGCCAAAGTGCCGTATGTGGCTAGTGAACCTCGGTTTGCCGACCACTGCCCTAGCTGGTCAGTAGCTAGATTGCTGGCATGAGAATTGAAGGGTCCTGGGTTTAGTTTCAGTCAAGGACAT